TGAATGTGAATGGGCTGTTGAGCACTGTTGAGGCTCTGGTAGCCATGGGTCTTGGTGCCTCTGCAGCCGCTGGGCCTCGAGAACACAGCATTGTTTTATCTTTGCAAGCTGTTGATGCTGGAGGAAGCAAGCACGATCAAGCACGTTGACACAATGTGTAATACTCAATTACGCATTGAGGCTGGCAAGAAAGTACGAAGGAAGTTGTTGTTGGACCATAAGCACACCCACCTGCACCAGGTAATGCTCAGAGAGCCGTTGGCGGGCACAGACGAAGCGCCTGGGAGTAGACAGGCACATTACATGAACCGTATGAAAAAGCGGAGAGTGACGAAAAACAAGCATGTCGATGACATTCGCACGTGCCTGGGTTCTGCTGCACATTCTTACGCTCACCACCTGGTGCTTCCATCTGTTCACCTTCCCACAAAATGCCCGAAGTTGAAGTACAAGATTCGCACTTCGTACCGGCATTACTGCAGCATGGGCACGCCATAGGCTACCCCACCTTTTGCAGACTGGGCAGGCATCGATGCCTCTGCATCATGCAAACAGCTTGGCGCCGCTCTTGACTGTTTTCGAGTTTTCCACATACAGTTTACTACACATCTCTGCTCATTCGGGCGGGCTTTGTCTGCCTTAACGTGTGGCTGTTCTGTCGACAGCTGCCGAGGTACAGAGCTGCGCATCGAGGTATGCCTCAAGTCGCGCGTGGGAACGCGAGGTGGGGCGACAGCTTGTGCAGTATCGGGTTGGGTGTTGGCTCCCATGGGCTTGTACACGTTTGAGCTGAAGCGTCAAGGAAGCTTTCAGATGGATGTCCTACTGTACCTACACTGCACCATCCTGCATGCCTGGGCTTCAGGAGCTCGTGCCATGTACCATCACAGCCGCCGTGTGCCACAAGGGCTCAGACGAGACCTCAGCGGCACAGTGAACCTGGCAAACCCGAGCCAAACTGTTAAACATGTCGGTATGCACAGCAGTGAGCAGGCCGAAAACATCAGTTTGTGCTTGATGTCGCATTGAAAGATGTCTCGGTGTTCAGGGCTGCAGGATGATTTGCAGCAGAACTCGTGAGTGGCCAGCGGGGACTAGTTGAGATACCAAATAGCAGATCCGATTTGGAGGCGAACTGTGTGGAATGCCTTGTGTGCATACAGTGCATGCTGGCAAGCCAGAAGGTGTGGGCTAGTGAACATCGAAAAGCAAACTTCCGGCCAAGCCCGGCTGACAAAGCCTCAACCCCCAAAGCCAAGATGAGAGCAATGGATGGAGTTCTGAAGGGGTGAAGCCCCTCCGACAAGATTCTCTTCTCTAGAGAATCCCGAGTCTGTAAATGGGTAATTCCACTCCGACGCTGTGGGCGGAGTTGCCTCTACGCAGAGGCACAAGTCCAACACCGTTACACAGACACGGATGCCTTTCTCTGCATTCTCTACTCCCTGCATACAAGGAGGGCTCCCCTCGCTCTTCTCATGTTGTACGGTTTTTTCGAAGTCAGTCAGTGCAAAGCTTTTTGCTGTACAGAGAAAGCCCAAAGACAAGCGAATGATCCCACCACCTTGAAGGTCGAAAAAGCCACATTGCGAACTCCTACACACAAAACAAGTCATCTCCCCTGACATGAAAAAGGGAATTGGTCTTCATCTCGAAGGGAACCCACATGGAGTTCCAGCTCTCGGCCGTGGAAGGTGGAAGCTCACTTCAGTAGGAAGGGAACTCCACCCGTAGACCATAACACGCCGACTTCAGAACAGACCTTGGGCGCGCTTATGCGCGAGGGTCAGGGTTCTCTTCCCTGGCCCCAAGCCCTGATGAAGAAGAAGAGAGAGACTGAGCGGCGTAAATTGTACGCACCGGATCGCCCCGGCAAAAATCAGTCTCAAATCAGGTGCTCCAGCTTCAAAAGTATCTCGAACATCGAAGCTTAGGAGAACAACATGGGGCCTCTAGCATTAAGTAGGTCGTCAGGTGCTGCAACAGCCCACGGCGGTTTTGCATATGTTTTTGTTGCCGCTGTGCTACCAGACTCTTACTAGACTTTGGGCTATTGGCCCCTTTGTGTCTTTTTGTTTCTGGAGATTTCTCTTGCCACCTTGTGATTGCTGTGAGTATGAGCCTCTTGCTCTGCAAGCCCGAAAAGCCGCGCAGCTCAGGTCAGAGAGCTTTGGCCGCAAGAAGTTTTCTTGGCCACCACTGCAAGGAACTCAGACCTGTAAACAGGCATTCCTGCTCTACTTCCTGTCCGGCCTGCGCAACGGGTTCAAAGACATTGGTTTCCGCGATCTGCAAGAACTCCATGATGGCCTAGAAAAGGAGATCCTGCGCATGGCGCTTTGCCTTAGCATTGGTGGTAGCTCTGCCATGCTGCATGCCTCACCAGCTGGAACGACGGGGGATCCCTTAGCATGTCTTCCCATGTCGGGATTCGCTTGGAGCATCAGCATGTTCGTCTTCTGAATGCGGCAACCTTGTCATTAGCTGCTACTAGCAGGCTGTTGAAGCCTCGCTCATGCCACTTAACATAAAGCCACACGGCATGTTTTGGGCATGTGATGTCACGTCTTTCAAGGCAAACATGGGTAGACGGGTAGGCCTGAATTGCTGGCACTTAAGAAAAATGCGATGAACAAGCGCAATTTAATGATCCACATACTGTGCCGACTGCTGACGTTGAAGACCACGTAAGGAGTGCAGGCTCCCTTACAGCCTCCAGCTTCAAGAAGCTTGCTCTCAAGCTGCGACCTAGCTCTTTCAGCAACTTGTTTGTGTCGACGCCTGATGTGATGTGCCCTCACCCCCCCCCCCCCCCCCCCCCCAGTGTGCAACATCAATCATGAATGGCCAGGCGAAGCAGAGCCAACATCCTGGAGTAGCGCCAGTCTCAGTGTTGACATCTTGGGGGTAGCACTCCAAGTTCATGTCCTTCCGGAAGCAAATCTCTGCGCCAGCATCCCACTTGGGATGCTGTCCCAGCGGTTGCAGTTTTTGGAAGCATGTGCTTTGCGGCCTGCGTTTCACCATTTCACGTTTCACAGAATCTCGGAATGCAGAACTGCAACAGGACATGTCCTTTGCTGCCATGCGTGGTGCAAAAGAACACTTGTCAGGAAGGACAGCAGGGCAGCGCGCATCCTGTCCAACATGTGATCGCAGTCTGTTCGGCTTGTTGTTTGTTGCTTGACATGCCCAGCTTGCGTCGTCCTGCCTCCATAGGTGTTCCTGTCACTGGGGCGAGGAAGTTCACGTGCAGCAGTATCCCGAGAATCGTCCGAGTGAAACAGCTTGCCGAGTTGTGATGGTGACACCCTTGCGTAACCTTGCGTAGGCGTAGACAGTACAGACCCCCTTTTGCGGGGTGGTGTTGTGGTGGGGTTTTGGGTTTGGCATAGAGGATTAGGGCTTTGAATTTTAGGGGTTAGACATCCTGGTAACTGTCGGCACTTCTGGAATTCGAAGAAGATTCAAGCCTCCAAAAAAATCACAGTTACGAGGACGGCGAATTTTTGGACCAAGGGGGCGGGTGGGTGGGGCCCAGGAACCCGGGGGATCACATCTCGGAGGCCGAGGCCCGCAACAGTGCCGATGCCCGTTTATTACAGTAAAAGCGCAAGCAGCGGTAGAGTGTTTCTACCACTTGACATAGTCAGGGTGCTTCTAAAAGGGCCAGGCAAACAAAACACATTGAAGAGCTTCTTGTATGTGTTTATATGCGACGAGCAGGCGCTACGGCCTTGCATGTGTGCGGACGCCTGTCGCTCGTTGAGAAAGCGATGTTGGCTCAAAGCTTCCGGCTGCGAGTGACTCAAATCCACGACCAAGGCTCGCTTGCCGGGTAATTACAGGGGGCCATTGCTTGGGCGCAGGTGGAGAGCGTCAGGTTTCCTCAGGTTTCCTCTTTCGGCCCGAGCTGCTGCGGAGACAGTTCGCTCGTGACACAACGACTTTGCTCAGCTTTTCTGCGCTGGCAGTATCGATCACTAAGTTCACCCAGCAGCATCAACACTCACCATCAGCGGCATCAGCACCCATAATTGTCACAGTAGAGGCGGGAGGGCAGCAACATGGCCGGCTTTGATTCGGAGAAGCTCCAGGAGGAGCATGCGAGACACCTCATGGAGCAGGGCTGGTTTATTCTCGACGATTTCCTACACGAAGGGATGGCAATCTCTTTGCGGCAAGAGGCAATGCAAGCTGCAGGAACGGGAAAGCTTCTTCCACATCGTTTCCAATTCGGCACCGGTACTTTCACAAAGCCTCATATTTACGAAGCTGACCTCCACAGCGAGTCGCTTCAAGAGGAGCTGCCGGGATTTGCGGAAGTACTCTTTGATGATTCCTTGTGTGCGCGACTCAATCAGCTTATGCCAGATCTCCGGTTAGAGAGTGGACCCACGGCCAAAACAGTGAAGCTGCAACGGAACGTTGGCCAGGGAGGATGCTTCCCATGTCATTACGACAATGGAGGCCCACCGAGCCGTAGGAGCATTACTTGCCTGGTATACCTCAACCCTCAGTGGAAAGAGGGTGATGGCGGAGAGTTGGTTTTGATGCCTTTCCTGATGCCGCAAGTCGTCATTGCACCACTCATGAGGCGTGCCGTGTTCTTTCGGAGTGATACGGTGCTGCACGCGGTTCGGCCGGCAACAGCTGACAGACTGTGCTTCACAATCTGGTTCGATGGCGCATCAACGAATCGTGATTGCGATTGCAACTTGACGACAAGGCTGCTGAGGGCGGAGGTAGAAGCCGCGAGCGTTCTGAAGCAGAGCCCTGTTCAGCGAGCAGTTTCACGTGCTGTCTATGCTCAGGAGTACGAAGATTCACTGGTTGCGTGCATGTCCGACACGCCTGGCCAGGAAGAAATGCTGCAGGCGCACAGGCAGCACGTGGACCAACAAATGAAGCACCCGCAGTTGGGACCATTTCTCGTTTTTCTGCGAGAGTTGAAGCCAACTAAGATGGTAGAATGGGACTCTCCGGCCTCGGGCGCGCAGGAGTTGAAAAGAAGAAGCGAGCTACAGAGAGATTAGTGCTTGAAGTTTACCTCGTGGCATTTTGGTAGCATGGCATGCACGACCCCCGGGCACATCCAGCAAAGCAGCTAGCCAGGAGCGTTTTGCCCGCGAGGTTGACATGCTTGCGCATCCACAACCTGTTCCGCGGACAGGGGCTCAGAAAGGGCAGTCCTGCTTCATCGAACGTACACTACGCAGTCATAAACTACCTTCTCCTAGCTAGGCCCTGTGTTTGCATGAGCCGGAAGGCAAGTAGGCAGAGCTCAAGTGGTTGAACTTTCGATGGTACTTTTGGATTACCCTCGCCGCGTTTGTTGAGGTGACAGATTTGAGGGTGGATGCAGGGGAGAGTGATAGCCAATCATCCAACAAGAAAAAGTGATACATGATGTACAACAGACGGTAGAAGCGATAACTTGGAAGCCAATCGCCTTTAACACCATTTAACTTTTGGAAAACTACCACCTTAGGTCTTGATGTTAAAAAAACAGCCGTTCAACGGACCACTTGTGGCAACTTAGTTTTCGGAGTTCTTGAATGATTGCTTGATGGCTGGGGTGAGTACGTTCCAACGCAGTCGCGAGTAGAATTAGACTTGGCGAAGAGTCCGCTTTGTCATCAACGAGCGTTGATAACATCCAAGTTGTTAGCTGGCTGACAACACCCTTGGACGCGCTTAACCTGCTCTTGAAAACAAGCATGAGAAAGTAGGCCTGGCCAGACAGTATGACCAAATGTTTTCCGGTTATGCGGGTTGCTGAAGGCCATGGGTTCCGGGCCCGTCGCGCAGTTTGCAGGTTTGTTTCTGGCGCCGATCTTGCCAAGGGTGTGACAGCCGCTGCTTGGAGCTTGGCTTCGGAACTTCAATTGCAGGACTCGAAAACTTCGTAGGGTTTGTCAGATCATCTGTGCACAGGGACGAAACCCGACTGCAGCGTGGGCTTCTAATTGCTTTCTGAAGCTTGACATCTTTCAGGTTAATGCAGGGAGCCTGGCGACTGGGCCCATCACGGCCCCAGTGACATGGCTGCCTGCACAGGTGCCGGTCGGGGTGCCCAGTGCCCAACGGTTTCGTAGCGACACCTCGCTAGCTTAAAGCGAGAAGGAACCGCTTTGCTTTTGCAAGCAGCGTACGCAATGGGGCGAGAGCACGATGTGGGACCCCAAAGCGGCGATCTGACAAATAAAGACGTTGCACATGCAGCTGCTCTTGCCAAAAACGTCAGAGCTTTTCGTAGGTCCGGCCAAAACCTTGGTGACTAGCACAGGTCAAAGTGGCCGACACATCGACGCCAGCAACTAGGACGCCGACCTCACCTTTCAGCCCGTCGGACGCCTGTTCATCACACGTTGAAGCAGCACTATCCTCTTCACGGGTGCAAACCACGTCTTACTACTGCTACTGCTCCAGTCTGTCATAGGATGAACCCCACATGCTCTTGATCTCCAGTGTCGGCATGCCAACATAGCAAGGCCTTTCGCTCCAACGCCTTCGACCCCGTTTTCAGGCAGAGTTCTTGGCATGCGCACAGAGCGGAAGATTACTTGCACGGTACATCTTGTAGACTTTGATTGGCCAGGAATTTCCGTCGTGCGGCAGGGGCCTCATCAAGCTCAAATGCATTTGGTTGCAATCGGGAATTTGGACAACAAGCTTGCACGCCCGCTGTTGCATGGTAATTAGCTCGGACTCTTGTGGAAGGGTGAGTGAAAGACGAAAACATGGCAAACAGGGGGCTGAAAGAATTGAGACGGATTATCTAGAAAGGGCTTACAAAATTTTAAGGAGTTGCAAAGCTTTTTTGATCGAGGGGCCCTGGGAGACCGAGAAAACAGGGTTTCGTCTTCGTGCCCCCAAAAGTTTGGTACAAAGGCGTTATGCTTTATGGGAACAATGGGAACAAAAGATGGCCTGGGAAACTGCCCAACATTGGCTGGCAGTCTGAAGCCAATGGAAGAGGGGTTTATGTGGGGCTTTGACCCGCTGTAGGTCAAGCTTCGGCACTCCATCTCGCCCACCAGTGCTGCCCTGGCAAACAAGCCCAGGCAGCCGATCAATCTCATTCAGCCAATTTCAACAACTGTTAGTTTTGCAGCTGCTCCTTGGGCAGGCAGCCATCCGTTTGCGACAGGCCAGCCTCCAACGACCTTTCCGCTTCGCCCTTGGCAAGCCGGTGGGAAGCGTATTGTCTCGGAAGCTTGCGAAGACGATTTCCAGCGGTTGAATGCCTGTTCCTTCCTGCGGCATGGCACAGTTTGGTACAGAATGGCATGGCCTCAAATGCCTGCAGTGGAGAAGCATCAGCGTAGCTGCGCAGCGGTTCAATCAGCGCCCCTACTCAGGGAGGAGCCGGTTCTCATGCTGAAAGCGCCAGCGCAGGTTCCGGTCTGCAGAGCAACTGGTGAGCTGCATCTTGTTGATTTCACCATTTTGCTGCGCAATTTGCCTGAGCAATTTCACATTCGCTCATCGTTTGCAAGGCCCCGGTGATGTACCCACGGTATCCCCATTGCAGCCTTAGCCGCAACCTCCTGAAAGCAAGTGTCTCAGGCTCCAGCAACGAATCCACAAAAAATGAACCAGCCCAGAGGGCTTGCGGTTGAAGGGCTTAGGGTTTTGGAGTTTAAGGTAAGCTTTGCGAAAAGGGCTTGCTTTAAGAACCCAAAACCTACTTCTGTAGGCTACCTAAGAACCCTTGTAAAGGCATGTTTCGTAACACTCCTACAAAATAGTAGGCTTGGCTCTTAAGGCCGGATTTTGAGTTAGGGCTGCCGCTGCCGCTGCTGCCGCTGCTGCTGCCGCTGTCGTTGACAGTCTCTGGGTTACAGGGAAGCCAGCCTCAACCCCAAAGCCAAAACCCCCGACACAAGATCTCCCTCCACAGAAGCCCAACTTCAACCAAGGAAATCCCTTTAATTTTGCCACTCTGCTAGGCCAGTTCCTTTGCGCTATCGGTTTTGCTCTGGGGCTGTTTTAAGGACCCGGAAGGACAAGCCCAACTCTGCCTTTACGAAAAGAGAGAGAGAGAGAGAGAGAGAGAGAGAGACCAGACGCCACAGAGCATTTTTGCAAGATATGCCCTCCTATGCAGGCATTTGCATTTGGGAGCGCGGCTGCGCCCATGCACGATTCAGCTCAGAGGTCACTGCACTTGGATATCAGCCAGCGACTGGAACAGGTGAGTAGACGTGATAGGAAGCAAGCTGCAGCACACCGCAGGTCTAGAGGGTGGCGATTTCTCTATGCCTTGCATATGTAGCCGGCAGGTCGCCATGCGGATCAGGACAGGCATGGTCAGAGGATATTTCATCGACACCTACTGTATTTCGAATTGTCTTTAAGTTCCAGCCACTGAAATTCCAGTGTGTTTAGGACCCATAGATCTTCTGCGACATGCGATATAGGATTTGATTCGACAAGTGGGCCTGGCAATGTGGAGCAGAGCATGCACATTACGGCACGAATTCGACAGGAGGCGCTGCACCATGTAACTGCCAGATTCGCCTTCGAGCAGCCATCCAAGAAGATCCTTAGATGCAAGTTTTGCGCAAAGCCCGGCACACTGCAAGGATGATACAAGAACAGTGCACGCTCAGGATTTGGACAGACACATTGCGATGCAGCGGCTGCCTCGGCAGGGCATCGACTCAGAAGCTGGCTTTGGGCTGCCAGGGTCCAACTTCTGAAAGAAAGGACACAGTTGGCCGGCTAAAATCACATGCGCGACGGAGGAAAAACTCCCGCCAGTCTGCAGTTGTTTGGATACCACGTGACACCACCCCCTCCCCATACATTAACTTCAGGACTGGTGAGGGGTATGGGAGCTATTGTCGAGCAGGATTGGGGGTTGAGATTCCAGCGAAGCTCATGATTTTCACCGAAATCTTAAGCACCATGAAATACGAGATACCACGCCTTATCTCAAAAGAGTTTGCCTTTGCAAACCTAGACCACCTTCAAGCCGTTGTTTTGCGAGCAGCCTCTTCCCGTATGACATGCGCAGATACAAAATCACCTTGGACCAAGGCTTGCACACTTTTTTGTAGGTTTCTGTGCTCTTTGCTTATCGCTCTGCCACTGAGAGCTAGCGCAAGCGTGGCGGCATGCATCGGTCTGTCACTGTTGCCCTTCGGCAGTAGCTGTGTTTTGTGAGAAGCGCGCATTGAACCGCTGGCCCTTCCGGACACATCTTGCCGTTGCACTGTCCAGGCTTGTGGTAGCTGAGCCGCATGTAGGAAATAAAGGGCAAAGCGTGCTATGTAGCAATGCTAAAGCAATGCAAAAGAGCGCTGAGGAAGGAAGCGGCCAGAGCAAGCTCACCAAAGGCCAAGCTCTGAGCTTTCACTGCGGTGATATGCCGACTTGTACGAATCATCTTGCGTCTCCCTGTGCAAAAGGCGTGCAGCGGTGAAAAAACGTTGCTGCCAGCATGGGTTTATATGGGCGTTGAAGCAGCCGCGTGAGAGCGGTGTGAGAGGCGTGTTTGTTATGTTTCGCCCGAGAGAAATACAATCTTCGCTCTTGGAATAGCTTGTCTTTTTGCTTACTCTAGTCGCGTTCTTGAGTCAGAATTTGCATTTTCCCTCTTACAAATCTTCTTCCTTGATACTGATAGTTTCAAGTCTTTCTGATTATATTTCGTTTTCTTATCTACAAGCGACGAAACGCACGAGTCGCGTTTGACTACGGCTGTGCCTTTACCCAACTCGGCACGTGCGGGCCCGAATCTGGCAGCAACAAACAGACCAACCTCCCATTTGTTTGGCCATTTGGCCTTTTGTTTAGCCGATCGGACTGCTGCCCTGGTGCGCACTGGTGCAGCCTTTCGCTTACGCTGCCAGACACGGAGAGGTGCATGGTGCTCTACACAGCAGGCGTGCGAAAACAGGAGCTGGCCCGATCCCAACCCTGGCGACCTGCCATTCCAAGTGTCTCCTGAGCATGCGTGAGGGTTTTTCGTTTTTCTGCAGGGCGAGGT